AGGGGGAAAAAAAAAGGAAACTAAAGGAAATTTAAAATAAAAATAAAGAAACTAAAATAAATCAATTAAAACCGCAACCAACCTTTGTGTTTGGAGCAGCTGGTGGGACGCCAGGACAAAGGGACACTTGGAGCCGCAGGGTCCCACACAGGCACGGATTCGTTATTTGGAGCGAACCCCACGAACCACCAGCCCCTCCCCGCCCTGTGTGTGTGTGTCCCCACCCCAGCTCCTCGCCCCGCACAGCCGCTGCCTGCGGGGCCCTGTCCCACGGGAAGGGTCTGTGCTGGTGCGCAGGGGACAGGGGATGGCGAGGTCCTGCTCCAGCCTCCCTCCCTGGACCCAGACCTCCTGCACCCAAAGAAAGTCATTTCTCGAGGGACACGCGGGGAAAGCCACCGGGAGGCACGGTAAAACGAAATAAAACACAAACCACCAGCAGCACTCAACTTTACATGGCGTAATATTACATTCTCTTTTCCTAGTTTCACTCTGTACATCAGAACACTGCAAGGGTTTTAAAAACCGAAAAGGCAAAGGCACCTGAGGAGCGAGTCGCACACGCACGCACACACACGTGTGCACACACGCACACACGAGCCGCGTCCATTCATGGGAGGACTGGGGTGGTTTGGGGGTCCCCGGAGCATTTTGGGGCAGCCCCAGCCCGGGATGGCCGGGAACCCCGTTTTGCTCTCAAGGCTTTGGAAAGAAGGAAAACACCCACCCACCACTGAGGGGCTGAGAAAATCAAAACCAAACAGGTTCAATAAAAGAGGAGAAAACCGCTTAAAAATGGTTTGGTTTCTTCAGCTTTGGTGAAAACACACTTTGTCTTCTGACAAAACCCTTCCAGCCAACACTGGTTATTACTTTTTGTCTTGTATTTTTTTTCCCCATCTATCCCATATCACGGAACAGACTGATGGATTTGGTCCTATTCACAGAATAAAATTCTCCATCCCCCCCTCGAAGACAGGAGGCGACTCCAACCCCCCACCCCAGGAGCTGCCCATCACTGTCCTGGTTGACTGGCACAAGCCCCGGAGCCCAGCCTGGGTAATAACTGGCCTTGGCAGCTTCGCAGGCAAATTTATAGGGAATCCTTTCAACTATTTGTTTTGTTTTGCCATAACATTACCGATTTTTAATACTTTAACTGAAATAACCCTAATTTTCGCTTCATTTTTCAGAGCTGTGGACAAGGCAATGCTCCCACCGCCACACCAGCGGAGCAAAGCCTTGATCTCTTCCACGTGGAAGAATCCAAGGATGTGCGAAGCCACACGATCCACCAACTTCTCGATTTCCTCTTCAGTCCAAGCAACACTTTTCATTTTCCATTAAAAACCAATATAAAATAAATATAAAATTTTATATTTATAAAATAAACCTGTGTTTGACAGACTGGCCTGAAGATGGCAACCTCCCAGTAACTGCTTATTTAACCCTTTGCTGAGCTAACGCAGCAGGGAAGCGGGAGGTGGGATGGTGCAATTAATTTGTCCAAAATAACCAAGATCTGATTAACTAATTAGCTTCCAGAGACTCTGTGCATGTTCCCCGCCCAGGTTTTCCAGCAGGGTAGTGCTGGCCAAAGAGGCTGCAGCCCAACTCCGCTTTCAATTGGCCCGTTTTCTCCTACGGCTTCAAACACGCCGCAGGAAGAAATCTGCTTCCAGCTGCCCTCCACCGACACAGCTCCGCTCTCCCGGGTCTGAGGCTTCACCGTCCCGCAGCTGCTCCCTTGGGCACCACCGTGGAGGTGACGTCCCCCTTCCCTGCATCCAGGGCTGGTCCCACAAGGCACAGAGAAGGCAGCACCCAGCCCTCGGCAGCCCAGATCCGCAGGCTCCACTCCCCTCTGCCTAATTTTAGGCACCCACTTGGGTTTTACGGAGACCCACTGGGCTCTTGCGGCAGCTCCACTCCCAAAATGTGTTGGCACCCCTCCAGCCCCGGCGCAGCAGCGTGGGGACGGGTGAGCAGGGCCACAGCTACGAGCGGAGCGCCGCCCTCGCCAAGATCCTCTCCAGCTCCACCTGAACCCGGATGGTTCCCAGCACGAACCGGCTGGTGCTCAGCCCTGCCCATCGCAGGCACCGACAGCATTTCAACGCAGCTCGGCACAGCCCGTGGCAGAGGTCCCAGGCATCCGTCCGTGGGTTTACCCCGCAGAGACCTCCTGCACCCGGAGAAGACCCCCTTCTTCCACGACTCGCACACACACACACGCGCGCGCGCGCGCACACACACGCACAAAGGCAAAGTCAACACGGCTGCTGCACCACCGCACCCGACTCCGTGCTTCGTGCCGAGTCAAGCATCACTCCTTGATTGTAACCGCTTAAGGCACAGAACAGTATGAAATGCCACCCTGCTGGAGACGCTGGCTGGTCCCACGGCCTCCAGGAGGGTTCGGTCCCCTTGTGAACGGGGACCCCTGGGTCCCCCCCCCGACTCTGCGGTCTGAGGATCATCTCCTCCGGCTTGGCTGAAGCCCCCGTCTGTTCCCCTGCGAAAGGCAGCGATTGCCACTGAGCATCTCGTTCCTCCGCCGGTCCTGGGGATGGTGCCAGCGTCGCTGTCGTGCTGCAGGGGGACAGACCCCACCTGCTGCGCTCTCCCCAAAAGGTAAGGAACACGGCGAGGGGGGACAACCCCGGTATTGCTGGCAGCAAGGAGGTTCCTCGGTCCGAGACGAGCACCCGCACAGTCCGGGAAATCCCTCGCTCTGAATTCCGGGTGTCAACAGTCCCGAGCGCAGCTTGGAAATCCGACAAGGTGACGGGTGCCGAGCCAGCGACGAGCAAGAAGGGACCTGCAGGGGCCACCGCCAGGACAGCCCAGGGCGAAGGTCTGAACCACAGAGCACAAAAGGCCGCGGGTCTGGCGGCCGCCCC